CCTTATCAAATTTGAACTGACCTAATGGTATAACATTTGGAGGTGTTTGTCGTTTTGCACCAGATTCAATACACGTAATAGTGGACATGAGAAAATTTGTTGATGTTCGAATTGTGGTACTATCCATATTATGTTTAATATGTATTTTTTGATTGTCAGTATTATCCAAGACAGATGGATCACCGTGAATTAATAGTTTAACAGCATCATTTATATGTAAATATGCACCTGTACATAAAAACTAATTAATGCCATTATGTATCACATAGTGATGACACTGATGAAGCCAGCTTCGAGTAGGAAGCGCTTCAAAATATATTCTTGTCGGTCGCTATTTCGCTCTTCCTGCATTCCTCTATTATTCCTCTATTATAGAATATTTCCTTGTATAATGTAACTTTGTATTATATAGTTTATATATATTGAACTTCTTTTTTTTTCCAATTGATTTGGTTACTTCAAAGACAATCAACCACTATGTTTCAAAAAATTAATTGTTATCAGCATCACGTATAAAGAAAAGAAAAGGAACTTTCATTTACAGCTAACTCCACTTTGATACTATTGAAACTTTCCTATAAGAGAAACTTTTCTGTTTTTAACAAAAATGGAAATGGGTCTTCTCTAATCAACGTAATTTAAATTTGCGAAGTTAGGAGATTACAAAATAAACTTGGAGTGAGCAGTCTCTTGTGTATATAGAAAATCAACATTTGATGAAAATATAAAATTTGTTCTCTCCTCATTTTATTCTTTTGACAGAAAAGTTTCTCTTATAGGAAAGTTTCACATTTGATAGCAGAACATCATCAGGAGATCCTTCGTCATCATCTCCTTCTGAGGATTCATAATACGTCATATAATCATATTGTGTTTTTATCAATTTCGATCTATCACGTAAACTCTATCTAAAATTCAATCATCTTTATAATAAATATTATCTTTCTTCGGACTCGCAGGCCTTTTACTTGGACAAGGATTCGTCATCAGAACAAGTGGAATCAGCACCAAGAGCAGCTGGCTGGACGGTTTTGATACGTTTTCGTGCTTGACAACAATTACTTTGACGAGTACGTTTTGGCTGAACCAATGTCTTAGTACCAATGGACACCTAAATGAAGAAAGGATTTTTAGCTTCGCATTCCAGCTTCAACTTAATTCTGTGGAAGTATTAGCACTTACATTTGATCGTACAGTTGTTGGATTATTAAAATTAACTAGGCTTGTATCAAGATCATTTTGACTGAATACCCTGTCGTTCACCTATAAACAAAAATTCTAGAGCTGTGAAGTACCTGCAAGCTATGAAAGATCATAAATTGCTTTCTTACCTTTCGCTTTTTAATTACGACTGTTATCAAGTTACTTCCATAGTGGTACGACTCTATTTTATGATGACCAGCTTTGGCTTTGACTTTGCTTTTCAAAATATTTAACTAAAACAAGCAAAGCGCTTTAAGACAGAATTTCAAAAAAGATATGATAAATGGATAATGTGAATATACTGTTGGAAAGTGTCCAAATCCAAGGTGAACAAAAACAGAAGTAGAAGAAATGAATAATGCAAATTGACATACTTTTCTTTGAATTTTCTTCTTCAAATCACCTTCAGGAATTTCATTGACGTTTGGTACGATTGATGGAAACTTTGCAAGTATGAGAGGTAATACATCATTCTTTAATCGTGGATTATTCTGAATAATATCTCTAATATCAATGTCAACGGTCAAAGTATCTTGAAGAATTATTATACTCATTATGTTTAGCTTTTTGTCGGATGAAATGTGCCTTCTCATAGTATTCATATATTTAAGAACAACTTCTGAAGACAAAGGCTATTTCTTATTCTTAATTATTCCCATGCGTAACGTGTACAACTTGTTTCACTTGTTAATTATGCGTGTAAATTTATGTTTGAGATACATGATTGTATATAAATTAGATTAACACATTTATACATAATTTATTTATTCAATTTGAGTTACGAAAAAAATACATAGTCGTATAGAAAAATTTTCTTATAAATCAGTAGCAGTTAAGAGATACTTCATTCTACATAAAATTCATAAAAGAAAATATCATTCTGAAAGCTTCTGTTAAAAATACAAACTGTTCAGTTACTATGGTAAGTAATCTTTTTTTAATTCTGACTGATAAAACATCAAGCTTTTTAATGGACTCGAGAAATTTTCTAGCGAATGAGGGATACTCACAACTCGCTTGTTGACTACGAACATGCATAAAAAGTGACCATATAATAACTTATGTGTCGCTAAGAACGGCCTCTTTTCTTTCATCTATCTTTGTCAATAGTCTTGCAAGTATAGGAACTATTCGCTCATCACATTTTCTATTCCTTATCCCTTTTGATTTTTTAAAAAATTTTTTTGATGTTGTCTTCTTTTCAATTTTTCGAAGAGATGATTAATACTGAAAACAAGGAGAAGCTACACTTGATCTTATCTCATATAATCAAGACAATCATGAATGAAAAAGTAAGATATGTTTGAAAGGACAGCAGCTTAGTCTGTCACAAGAATGAGCTGTTCTTAACGAATGAGGATTATTTTTTTAAGCAGTTTATATTGTTCTTGATGCTATTGCTCTAACATCGATATATATGAAATAACTGTTTCATACACAAACAGATCATTTGTGACAAATTACGCTGCTGTCCTTTCAAACATATCTGACTTTTTCATTCTTGATTATGAGAGATAAGCACGAGTGTAGCTTCTTCTTGTTTTCAGTGTTAATCGTTTCTTCAAAAATAGCACACTTTCAAATATTCTTGTTATATATAGTTCTTCTTTCACTGTGATTTTTGAGACAAACAAATAAAAACATGTATTTAGGTCTTGTTTAATAAGTCACATTTTCCATCAAACAATCTTCTTGGATGTGGATACTCTTTCCTTTTTTATCCATGTGCACATCAACACCTAAATTCTCATTTTTAATCACAGTCAATCGAAACAATCGATTTTTTCTTAATCGTTCGGATTTATTTTGGTTATAATCAATTCAGATTTTATCAAATATCGTAATGGAAAATGACTGACAATAATTTACTATAAACGAGTTTTAAAATGAGAGAAGAACTAATATTCAATCCTAAGATTTAGAAAATCATGTATTAGTACAATCAAGTGTAAAAATTTATATCGAAATGAAATAATGTGCTTTTTATAATTTTTCTTTCTGTATTTGGTGGTTATCTTACTGAAAATATTGACCGAACAACTGTTCTAGTTCGAATATATATCATAGATTTCATGTACAAATCTGTATCGTAGCGAATGCTATCTAACGTAATTCTAATGTACATATTATCCACTAATTTTGATATTTACAATATATAGATACATATAGTTTATAGTTTTCGAATAAGAAAAAAAGAATAGAACATCATGACAATGTGTTTCACCATTATGTATTAACATTTATTTGAATAACAACAATACAAGTACATATAAGCTTTTCCTTTGCACAAGAAATCCTCTTTGAGTATACGAGACATTATGGAACATTTAATCACTCTTTATTACATTTGTTCTATAACATTTCGTCATTCTTCATTGGGTGCACATGACAAACATTGCATCATTCTATTGATCGCGTTCATATAAAAGGAAGAGAACATATTATTTTTTTCGTTCATTCATTGATACAAGTAGGTAACTTTTATTCACACATATATAATAATTTTATTCAAAGTGTATATTGTACGCTACAATTTTCTTTTTTACAATAGGAATGTAAGAGAATCAAAAGTTGAAGACATCTTTTGTATTTTGAATTGTTTCGTTCGAAATGATTTATTGAGATCATTCAAACAGTGATTTTTCATAGTTTTTAAAATGAACTACTGTTTTTTAGAAAGGTTTACTTTGATGTTCATATTAAGCGTCTGATATAGATCATAATTAAATTGAATTGTTTTTCTTTGATGTTTTATTCAATATGTAAACATATAGTGTTAATAGAAGATAAAAAGTCAAATGTGTAATAATACATAACATGTTTAGCGAAAAAATTATGATGTTTTCTTTGGTGTTATCCAATTATATTTAAGCATTGCCAGCGTCATTTTTTTTCACACATTTTTTTTTTGTATCTATTGAACGATAACCACTGGGATCATGGTCACACTAGTCGTTCATTTAACAGATGATATAAAAGTCAGAATAAGAGTCATCACCATCTCTCACTGTTTGAAACAAACATATCGAATTGATATTTACATGAAATAATTACGTTAAATATCAGTTGATGAATAATTTCTAGAGCTATTATATTTCTTATAAAGATTGTTTATTTCAGAAGATAATAATTCAAAAATCAAAAACAACAAATGGAAGAAAATGATAAGAAAAAAAAATCAAGTAAAGAAACAATTGTACCCGATGGTGGATGGGGATGGATGGTTGTCTTAGCATCATTCTTGATTCATTTCATTATGGATGGGTAGGTGATATATTATTTTTTTTTATTTCATTTCGTTAATTTTATATTAAAAATATTTAGAATAACATATTCAATGGGTCAAACATTCTTAGAACCCATGCGTACAAAACTTGCACTTGATCGAGCTTCAATTTCAACTATTTTCAGTATTCTACCAGCTGTCACTCTTGGTGCAGGTAAACTAATTATGATTTTAATTCGATTGTTGTGTTCTTCTGATAATTATATTTCTAATTTTTACAGGACCAATCGCAACTGTTCTTACGAATATGTATGGATGTCGTGTAGTAGCAATGGCAGGTACTTGCATCGCTGCTTTTGGATTTTTTCTTAGTCGATTATGGGCGAACGTCTGGTATTATTATATAACAATTGGTATTATTGGAGGTATGCAATTTTATTATTTTAAACGATAGGAATACAATTTACATGATGATATATAGATATTATAAGAGATCAAAAACTTTTCATCAAGTTGATCGAATAATGATTCGTTCATCTATAGGAGTTTATCTTGTTTTCTTTGTTGTAATAAGTCGCCATAGATTAAAGAGTTCTATTATGTACTTTTATCTAGTATATCTTACTTAGTTTATATTCCATACTTTTAAAGAATATTATACATTTGTTTTCATGGTCTAATCGTACTAAATATTGATGACTGAAATTTTTATCCATTTTCGAAAATGTATGCAGTTTCAATCGATAATTATTAATCATAGAATTTTTCGATTCTATTCATGACTCTAGTTGTCAATGATTACATTCTTCACTTCAACTACTATAATGGAATAATTTTTTAAACTTCTGAATGATAGAAGCTATGTTTTTCTTTCTAACTGAGACAAATATTAAGATCGATATATAAAAGAAATCATTGCTGCATATGAAAGTATCGATTTTGAATAACGACAGAGTCAGTTTAAATAGACCAAAGGTTAGAAAATTATTAAATTGTACTAGGCATTGATCGCCACATCCAGAGCAAAGGTTCAGTTGAAACACAAAGAATAAAAATCAATATTATTGATGCAAATAACATCTTACGTAGAACAAAAAACAGGAAAGCTTTTCTAATAGTGAAGAAAAGATAGAATAAAACTTTTCCTCATTAAAATAAAGCTAATAAAAACACAATTCATCAATTTCTCGACGTCATTGTCATGCCGAATAGAACTCTCTAAAATAAAAATAAAAATGTTGCTTATATCGGATTTCGAAACGAATCGTTTCATGTAATATGGTTATTATACCAGCAATTATTTCTTTTATATTCTAATCTAGCGCATTTCAACCTTCGTCTTTCTCCTCTCTTTTTTTCGATTTCTCTTCTTTTTCAGGGAAAATCGATATTGAACAGTGTAAATTTTTATGGTGTGTGAAAAACATGAAAAAAAAATGCCATTTTTTAAATGATGAAACAGACAAAAAAAATCATTGTATGTCGTTTTCATCGATTCAAATGAAAATTTTCATTAATCTGATTTCGTTATTTTGGTTTTCAATCATCTTCATTTGATGACTTTGATTTCCTCGTTATCGCTACGAATCTTTCTCAAAATATTCGCAGATGAAGACAAACTCTATCTTTATCTTGATTGCTCTTTTTCCAGAAAGTCTTGATGGAAAGCCAGGAAATTCTAATCTATAATTTGTCTTAGTTTAAAAAACAAGAGTCAAGCTCTCATCAGTCAGAATTTTCAAGTTTTAAAGTGATATATACTCACTAACATCGACAACCACATAAATAGAATCGAAAAATTCTACTATTGATAATTATTGATTGAAGTTGCACACATTTTCTAAAGTGGACAAATAACTTTTTTTTTATACATATTTAGAACATTTGGATTATTTTGTTTACAATACAGAGAGAAAACATAGATACAATAAAACCTCATCTTGTGAAAATCCCATCGTTATGAATACCTTGCAATTCTGAATATCAAGTTTTTCACTGAATAATACCGAAAGAATATTATGAGGTTCCACGGCAGATTAAGTACACCCCGTATATTAATTGACCATGTACATCAAAGAGTGAGGGTACCGCGTTGTACTTAAACTGTAGTAGTACCAAGAAATAGATGATTGATCAAATTTTAAAGATAGTAATGGATAGATAGAATGATTTAGAAATTGTGCTACCTATTTCTCAATATTCTAAACTATATGCATATCTAGCACGACTATAATTGAAGTTGATTGATGTCTGTTTAGATACAAGTACTGCAAAACAAACATCTATTCGAAATTTTTTTAAAACATGCTGAAACAGGATTTTGATTTA